AGAATGGAAATATGGAGAGAGATCTCGAGTGTACAAATCTGAGAGAAAAGATGTCAAGGACAATGGATAAACGGGAGTGAATTGCAGAAAGAAAAATTAGATGAATGCAACACAACTGAGATAGAATGGTGGGGTTCAGTATTCCTTACACATGCCAATGAAGACTATAGGGAACTGACGAGGAAGGTTGTACGATCCGGATAGTAAGCCAACTCAACGATGATGGGCCCTGCTCTATGAACGATATCTAATTAGATATTTAAAGTCGGTTCTCGATTATAAATAGTCCTACCTAAACCCTCCATGAAAAATATAGCCAAATCCCCGTAGGTAGGGATTAAAGCACATCAAGTATAAATATAATCTTTCTACAACAAACCTGCCAAACACCAAACCCAATTTTTTGCCCTCCTCGATCCTATATACCTGCAGGATGAGAGTGGCTTCCTTCTGGAGTCTGACATGCCGGAAGTCGGAGCCTCCACGGAAGCGATTCTTCGCAAAGGTGTGAATGCATCCTCAGATGCCGGTGGTCATGAGATTGCTGGCCAAGCAGCCAGCTTCAAGTGACTCGGATTGTGCAGATTGACTTTCGCGAATTGCGTTGTGATGCTTGATTGCTCGTAGCTTCAGGATCATATTCCCGACTGTGGCCCAGAATGCTTCCCCCATCTCGATTCTACCGAACTTCATAGAGGTTCTTGGCAGGAAGATCGATTCGTGCGAAGACGTGATTGATTCTTGGCTATGTACATGCAACACAGATCTCGAACCTTATGATCCAATTTGCCAAAGGCACTGAGAGTGGATTTATGTTGTTCGCTACTAAGGAGAAACTGGAGGGTAATGATAGCAGTCGCGCAGATTCGTTGCTAGACTGCAATATATGTGGTTGCAATACTCCTGCTAGCTATAATATCTGCCTACCCCTGGAAATCCCTAGCTCCTTGCTGCAGGCTACGCCAGCAGATGAGTTTGATCCTGCAGACTATGCAGAAGAACTACAAGGACCTCACCTCCATGCAAGCGGAGGCTATCACAAGCATTCCCAACCAGTTGCCCTTGCAGCATTAACTGTGTTTTTGAGTGTGCTCGGTATAGTTCGAAAATCACCTGGGAACAATCCTTACATATAAGGCCCTTCAATGACAAGCTGCTGAAGCTCTTTGCCGAGATTACCAAGCAAGATGTGGTTATGGGCAACTACGTCACCCGAAGCAAGACTCTAGATCACGCAATCCCAGTTTTTTATAATGTGCTTAAAT